TTGCTGCTGTTTTTTTTGTCTAGTTAATTAGTAATAGTTAATGAATTAAATCTAACTGCCATGTTGCTAAAATGCTTGTATACAAACAAAAAACAAAACATTAAAAGTGCCTCAATATGTCAAAGGTCTGTTTCTTAGCATAGTTGTTAAAGAATCAATCAACACTGGGTTTGTTTTATTGGCACAGTTTAAGCCAGTAATCACTCTGAGAGAGGAAACTGGGGTTCAACACTTCAGTTCTGGGCAGAATTAAAGAGCAATAAGCTTGGGACCCAAATGTAAATGAAGCTTGCCAGCTGATATTCAACAAGCAATTTTTATATCATAAAATGACATTTCCACATCAGAATTTCCTGATATGTCATCAGTTGTTCGTGATTTATTAAAGACATGGGCAGCATGGGAGTGTAATTAATTAAGCTCTTCACCTCTGGATATGTTTTACCATGCCAGTGATGAACTTTTTACCTCCATACTTTGCCCAGATATTCTTGATCTCAGCTTAAACTAAATGCCTTCTTCTTTTTTAAACATTTATTTATTTATTAAATTTGTTTGCCATCCTTCCCATGTTATCTTTCCTTGTTCCAATAATGTGCTCAGTTACAAATTTCTTCTGCACAGTTAGAAAGTCACAATTGTCCAGTTAGACTAACATTTCTTATAACAAGCATTTGAGGTCGGCCTCTTTAGCTTCTTCTGGTAAGTATTAATGTTTGCTAACTGCTGATTCTAATAATGGCCATATCATCACAAAAGCAAAGACAAAGTGATTAAGATGGACTAGCACTGGTTGAAGCTAATTCATGGCTCACTTGCAAAAGCCCCTTTATAATTTGCTAATAAATTAAGGCCAGGCCCTCAGTTTAGCTGCTTAAAGCAAAGAATGGACTTTAAATTTGCCTGCTACATTTGTGATTGGATCAGTTTGCATCAAGCCTAGAGAATAAAATAGAATAATAGAGTTGGAAGGGACCTTGGAGGTCTTCTAGTCCAACCCCCTGCTCAGGGAAGAAACCCTATACCATTTCAGACAAATGATTGTCCAATCTCGTCTTAGAAATTTCCAGTGTTGGAGCATTCACAACTTCTGGAGGCAAGTTGTTCCACTGATTAATTGTTCTAATTGTCATGAAATTTCTCCTTAGTCCCAGATTGGTTCTCTCCTTGATTAGTTTCCACCATTGCTTCTTGTCCTGCCTTCAGGTGCTTTGGAGAATAGCCTGACTTCCTGTTCTTTATGGAAACCCCTGAGATATTGGAACACTGCTATCATGTCACCCCTACTCTTTTTCATTAAGACATACCTAATTCCAGCGACTGATCTTTACATATTTTAGTCTCCATTCCCCTAATCATTTTTGTTGCTCTTCTCTGTATTCTTTCTAGAGCCTCAACATCTTTTTTACATTGTGGCAATCAAAACTGCATGTGGTATTCCAAGTGTGGTCTTACCAAGGCATTATAAAGTGGTATTAACACTTCATGTGATCTTGATTCTTTCCTTCTATTAATGCAGCCTAGAACTGTATTGGCTTTTTTGGCAGCTGCAGCATATTGCTGGCTCATATTTAAATGATTGTCCACTAGGACTTCAAGATCCCTCTCAGTTACTACTCTCTTATTTTGCATAGTTATTTTCTGGTGAACTATAATGAGTAAGCATCTATATGTTTTTAGGTGATAGTAAACATATTTAGCTGCCTTGACCTATCAAGGAGATTGAGAATTATATGCTAATAATTATGCTTCGAAGTATTTTCACCTCACTGAAGGGCAGAAATGCCCTCAAACACAGTGTTCCCCATCCTGGGCACTTTCAAAATATATGGATGTCAACACCCAGAATTCCCTAGCTAGCATTTATTTTATTTTATTTTATTTTATTTTAAATTTATATACCGCCCTTCTCCCTGAGGACTCAGGGCGGTGTACAGCCAGAATTAAAAAACATGAAATACAAATATTAAAAACAATTAAAATAAATATAAATATATATTTATATATAAAGCATTGCTGTTGCTGAGAATTCTGGCAAGTGAAGTCCTCTCAAATGGAGAAACTTCTTCAAAAAATCCAGATAAACAATGAAGGTTTTATAAACTCTTGTTTACATGCATTGTGTAAAGAAGTCACACTCAGTTATTTTCAAGGAACTCATAGGCTGAGACAAAATATGAAATGAACTTCTGTGCCTATTTTGTCTTCCCAAGGGAGAAACTTGGGAAGTTTCAAATGAATGTCTTCACCTCTTTAAAATAATCATGGGAAACACATGTAGGCTACAATGCTCTCTTTACTCCAAACACAATTGCTGGATTAACATACTGCCCTTTAACTGTGTTTGCATTGTATAAATATTCATGGTTAAATTAGCCATAATTTTTACGGGATTAAGTAACAGTCAAGGTTCAGTGGCACACTGACCCATAAATTAATCAAGCAGGTGGAGTCACCAAACATGCTAAAATGAAACATAACTGGTTCTGGTAGCTTTTTTCTTCCTTTTTACTTCTGTATATTGCCCCTTCTCACAGCTCATGGAACTTTACAACAATATAACATTAAAAAACAATGATATAAGTAAAACCTTAAGCAAAACAAGACACTAGCAATAGCATTTAAAATTCAAAGAGCAATTACCATTCCAAATAACTACCAGTACCCACCTAATTGTGAGCAAGGCTACTTTTGAAAGCCCTAAAGATGAAGTTCTTTTGAGTTGCTTCATGGAAAGATCCTAAAATTGGTTTCAATATCTCTTCAGGGAGACTAGCCACATAGTAAAACACTGCCTCCAGCCTCCCACAAATTACATATATTGAAAACAGGTGATGCTCAATAGCCTAAGCAAACCAAATTAGGTCAGTTAAAGATGTTTTAAAAAATATGTAATTTTCAAATTAGCAAACTAATAAACAAGATTCTACCTGGATAGGCAGTGAAGTTGGCTAGCATGAATTAATTAATAGATTAGCATCCATTTTGTTCAAATATTTACACAGAGAAAGTACCTATTTCAAAAGTGATGTACAAATCAGCTTATATTAGTAGATGATTAGTAGAAATTTAATATTTACCTATATATTACTTATATATTAATATTTAATATAATATAATATTAAATGTATATTGGATATGTTTGCACCACATGTTTACTTATAAATTTGCCATCTCATCTGAACTAATTATATTGAAATGATCCACCCTGGGTAGTTGGTTTTTTTCCTTCAATTCTCAGCATATCCCAAATAACTGAAGTGGGTAACCTGTGATTGAGTTGTACAATTACAGTCAATGTGTTAGAAATTTTATAAAATACAATTTTTCCAACATAATTATAATTATTAAGAAATTGATAACAAATAATATATAAAAAGTTCTGACATTGATATTCACTGGATTCACATTCATGTGCACATTACTTTGTTCAGTACTTTTTATAAATATTTCATTGAGGATCTTCCTAGAAGATAGGATACAGTAGTTCACATACAAAGATTGTATCCACTTTGCCTCCACTCATGTCCAGTAGAGGCACTTCAGTTCATTTTGGTGAAAGAAGCTGAGATACCTTCTTATATCATCCTACTCCCATTATTGGGAGGGGAAGGAGAAGGACAGATTCTTCTTTGTTCTTTCTGTTGTTTCTCCAGTAAAAATGCCAGCTGAATCCAAGTGTTTTTCTCCACCTGCAGGAAAGACATGTAGTTCGTTCATTGGTTCTGTCTGAACTTTGAACTGTGGTCATTATATCCTAAAGTAAGGGAATTTTTGAAAACCTTAAGTTTTCACCTTCATTTTCATATCACGATTCATCCCAAGATCTTAAACTATCATAAAGTGATTAAACTGTTGTTATAAACTATGGGTGTCAAACTTGATTGCATCACATGACATATCACAACTAGGGGTGAAATCCACCAGGTTCTGAGTTTTTGAGTAGTTCAAAAAACCAGTAGCAGAAATTTTGAATAGTTTGGAGAACCAGAAAATATCACCTCTGGCTGACCCCAGAGTGGGGTGGGAATGGAGATTTTGCAATATCCTTCCCCCAGGAGTGGGGAGGAAATGGGGATTTTGTAGTATTCTTCCCCTGGAGTGGGGTGGGAATGGAGATTTTGCAGTATCCTTCCCCTGCCATGCCCACCAAGCCACGCCCACCAAGCCACACCACGCCCACTAAGCCATGCCCATAGAACCGGTAGTAAAATAAATTGGATTTCACCACAGATCACGACATATCATGATGTTTGTTGCCTTTATGGAACTGGGGTGGGCATGGCCTGCATGTGATCCATTTGGCCTACGAACCACCAGTTTGACATCCCTGTTATAGACTGTTCTCCCATCAATTATGTATTTTTCTAAACATGGAAAATGAGTGTGGGAATAAAATGTATTGTAAAAAATAGTTATAGAAAGAAGAAGTCAAGGCACCATATTATTCAACTGCTCTTATAAGCCCGCTGGCTTCTAACTTATCCAGAGTTGATATGAGTCAGCTGGTACTATAAGGCATTACAGAACAATTTATTAGAATAGAATAGAATAACAGAGTTGGAAGGGACCTTGGAGGTCTTCTAGTCCACCCCCCTGCTTAGGCAGGAAACTGTATACCACTTCAGACAAATGGTTATCCAACATCTTCTTAAACTTCCAGTGTTGCAGCATTCACAACTTCTGGAGGGTTAGGGTTTGGGTTAGATATTAAATGTTTTAATATTACGCTAGCCTGCAAATTTGATCACTTTGAAAAGATTACATAGAAAGTACCTTTGAAGACATTTACTTCAGAGTGCCTCAAAAAATGCTACTTGATGAATTTTGGTTCACCGGATTGTCATTATAATCATGCTTATAAGGGAATTGCATCATTTAATTGAAAACCAGTTTCTATTCATATGAGGCTGATAACCTTTCTTGACTATCTTATCAAGAATCATGGTTTTATGGCTATTCTGTTGTTCACTCAATACTTTTTCTCTTGTCTCTTTCAGCCATTTTGAGCTCGTATGAAATGAACCAAGCAATCAGAAGAGAGACCACCTCAAAGCTGCCATAACAAGAATTCTTGTTGACTTATATTTATGGTTGCCTGCTTCCTTCACTCTATGTCAATTTTAGGCATTTCCACTACAGTAGCTATTCACCAATGGCTACTGCTGAAAACTCTACTTGATGGGAAAAGCGGTAGTGCTCTCATTGTTGTGTTGAAAACTACAAATATACTGTACTAAATATTGAATAGTATTGTCCAAGACTATTTGATTCTTCAGGCAAAAAAAATAAATAAATCTGCTCCTAGGTACTGAAGCAAAAGGAACAGTTCAATCTTAGTTCAACAAAATGAACCAAACATGGAAAAGAAATGAAATGAAAGAGGGTCTGTTCTAGAATAATACAAATTGATCTGGATTGAAGCCCCACTTGAAATGCCAATATTCTCTTTCTTTTTAATGTAGCAATTTCCCTTTTTATACAGGGTGGTGGGGAGGAAGCAACACTGAGGGTCTGATGCAATGGTGAAATCCAATTTTTTTTACTACCAGTTTTGTGGGTGTGGCTTGGTGGGCGTGGTGTGGCTTGGTGGGCATGGCTTGGTGGGCGTGGCAGGGGAAGGATACTGCAGAATCCCCATTCCTATCCCACTCTGGGGCCAGCCAGAGGTAGTATTTGCCTGTTCTCTGAACTGCTTAAAATTTCTGCTACCGGTTCTCCAGAACCTGTCAGAACCTGATGGATTTCACCCCTGGTCTGATGGTTTTTCCCTTTTCAAACATTCCCAGGAAATCTTTTCAGTTCTCACCTAATTGTTCGTCCCCATTGGTGACATTAGTCCAATGTCATGGGCTATTAACATTTCTCTGTCAAAATCTTAAATTTTTTCTTTGTAAAAAAATAATAGTAAAAGTCCCACAAAAATATTCGAAGTATGCTTATTTGAAGAGGGCCTTCTTTGTGATAAACTATGAGGTTATTTGTTCTTGCAGCAATATTTTAACTGGAGAAATATTTCAGATTTCTTGTTATTTTCTTGTGACCTCCAACAAATATTTCAAGGCTATTATTGCGTGATCTTCTGTTGTATTATTACTAGGTTTCAAGGAAAAGCTGCTGTATTATTGTAAGTAGAATCAGGTTTATGCCCCTTATTTCCTTCTGAGAATGTTGTGTTGTGTAGATGGAGAAAGGAAGACATGACTGGTTGGATTAAAGTACAAGATTAAGAAAAGAAACCGACATGGGGAAGAATTGACATAGCCCAAAGGTATACAATTCTTTTTCTTTCAATGGACATAGCTTCTAAAGTACTCTACAGTATTGGTTGCTACAGGGTGAAGGGGCTGAAATATACTGGAAGTGGATGAGTATAGAACCAAAAAAAGTTGAAACAAGCATCATGTTCCTTTCTCTTTCAGCAGGCTGCCAGGAAAAACGTTGGTTCTTTCTTGATGTCTGAACCCTTAGAACCATGATGGTGAATCTATGGTACATGTGCCCAAAGCTGCATACGAAGCCATGTCTCTCAGCATGCGTGGCCTTGCCTGTTTGTCTTCTGGGTTTCTGGTGCACATGTGCTTGCAACGATCAGCTGTCCGGCAGTTCCAAAAACCAGCGTGCACATGCGTGCTGGCCAGCTGATTGTTGGGTGCGCATGTGCACCAGAACCCGGAAGTTCAGCTTTTCCGGAGTGTGATCCCTTTGTGCATGCGGCAGTGCCAAAAACTGGCCAGTGCATGTGTGCCAGCCAGTTGATCGTCAGATGTGCATGCACGCTAGAACCCAGAAGTTTGGCTTTTCCGGAACGCGGCCCTGATGATGGAGCGCGCACAACATTTCCGCACAACCTTTTCGACACTCAGCTGAAAAAGTTCGCCATCAGTGCCTCAGTTTTGAAATGTGGCCCAGAGCAATGCAACATTGGCCTTGGATTACACCTGTGGTGCAGATTACTTACCTGTTTTATAGGACTTCAGCTGCTGTAGAAGCAATAGTGTTGGGGAAAACATGTTAATTGCTTAAAATTTCTCCTTTCCTAAATCTGGCTTTTATCATTAGTGTGGGCATCCATTTCAGCCTTCCCTTGGCAAAATTATGTAAGAATTCTGTTTGTTTCCTGGGTACTGGTTTAGAATTAAGAAATTACCCAAATTACTGCCATTAGGCTCAGTTTTTCATTCTTACCAAGACAAAGGCAAGACATGCTCAGAATGAAATGAAATCTCAGGATAACTGAGCCACCTTTTAGCTTTTATCAAACGGGTTTCAATAATGGAAACAATGGGGAGAGGGCAATACGTTTCCTGAGATTCTTGTTACAATCTCTGATCTATGACAGCCCTTGGCCTGAGAACATTCTTGCCTCCTGGTGGAAGGAAGAGTTTTCAAACCATTTCAGCATTTCCTTCCTCTTATGATATCTGTAAAGGTTCTGACTAATGAATCCAAGCAAATCAGAACCCTGAGGTCAAGCACTTCCTCAAAGAACCACTTCATTGGGTAAATGATATCGGCACACTTTGAAGGAAAACCATCTCTGACTTTCCCCATGGTTACAGTACAGTTAAAACCAGTAATGACCCCTTCCCCCTAATGTCATTAATCACATTGGCCGATTGGGTTAATTGGCGGGCTTCTCATGTATTCGTCTCCTCCTTCCTCCATCGCCCAGGAGATGACCTTGATTCTCATGAGAAAGATCTATGTTGTGTCTAGCAATGCATTCCAGCCTTCTTTCCCCCTCCCATGCAGTGTAGCAACGTCGAACCAGGAAAATGGCTTCTGCCAGGTTCAGTTCGGTGTTGACAATATTGCTATAATTAAAGAAATCTATTTGACTTCTGAAGAAGTATCTGTCCAGAAATGATAACGGGCCTAGTCAGCAAAAGAAGATGACAAATCCTGCTCTGAGTGCAAGTACCTCTTGTGTTTCGAAGTTCAACTATTTTGTGGCATTGGATTTAGGGAGCAAAGAATATCAGCTATGAAGCTCTTCAATCCTGCACTTTCTCCATGAGTGGTCATTTTCAGGCTTCATTAATTGCAGAATTCTGAATTTCAGCACTGAGGATTAGCCTATCCCAAATTGTTTATTATAAAATCCTGAGTAAAAAAATAGACTTTTAATTTAATTTAATTTAATTAATTTAATTTAATTTAATTTAATTTAATTAATTCAATTTATATGCCGCCCCTCTCCAAAGACTCAGGGCGGCTGCGTCTTTTACCATTGCACTGAAATGGTCTCTTGCTGTTGGTCTCTAGGAACTGCCAGCCATTCATCTATTGGATTGCCAGGACTCATTAATGTCCTTTCTCTCCTGTTTTGCAGGTCAGTTTATTCTGGCTACCTATATCAGAGGACATCTTCCTGTGGTTAATCTGATGGAGATAATTGGAATGAATTTGTTTGTCTCTCATTATGAATGAAATTTGCACAGAGGAATGGAGAATGAAAGTACTTATAGCCACAATTATCATTATTAGACACAGCCTAATGAGGAGCAGAGACCAATCAAAACAATATTGTTGATGTATTGCAGCACCTTGTCTGAATCGTAGTAGATTTAATTGCTTAAGACTCTGGATACAATAGAGTTAGAAATGAATAGTAGCATGCCTTACTGACAAAATGGATTTAAGTGAAAAAATTAAGGTGCCTTCATGTCTTCTCTTGCATATGTCAGAGATAAATGTAGTAGCTGGGTGCCAAAGCTTTAAACCCGTTAGATTAATGGGTATAGGTGGAGACATAGATATACTCTTATTGTTTAACCATATAGTGTTTTGCCTTCTGTTGGCTGTAGGAACTTCATCTTCTAGCAGAAGGTTGGAAACTGATCTCAACTGCAGTTGTGTAAATGCCAAACATCCTTCCATAAACTAGCCAACATTTTCATCTGACTTAATTGCATTCAAATGAATTATGGGGAGACTTCGGTTTCCTAAGAAGCTTTATGAAAATTCCACTGTGAGAAGCTTCCCTGGCTACCCTTCCCAAATTTTTGAAATGATGGATGCTTTCAGGATAATGTTGGGGATATGCATGTGAATATTCTTATCTCAAAATATGTGGGACAACAACTGAGAGATCAATAGAATTGGTTGGGCACCCAATGGTCATCCAGAAGTCATCCTAAAAGAAAGCCTCAATATTTAGCTTGTGTTCAAGAGTTCATTCAAAAAGGAACTTAAGCAAACTAGCAATGTGGAAAGCATTCTCTGGCATCCTGAAGAAAAGCAAGTTAATTAGGCATTTTACCATAATTCATCTCAAAAAGAAGAAGCTGGGTTTATATTTGGGGACAAGGAACAGTCAGCATGTGTGACAATTCCTATGAGAAATACCCTGATTAATACATGATTATTCAGTGTGAGTACAGCAAGGATGATTTTTACTTCTATTTTCTTTGAGGGAAACCAATATTTAATTGACTTTCTGAAGCTCCCCAACAATTAGTGGACAAAATATATCTTTCAGCAAACAGAGGGCCAAAAATAATAAAATAAACATTGTTAAAGATTCTCTGCATGCTACCCACTATTGCTTGCAATGTTCTTGATTAGCTTACTTTTGCCTTAGTAGTTACTGTAGACCAGGGGTGTCAAACTTGATTTCATTGAGGGCCACATCAGGGTTGTATTTGATCTCGGGGGGGGGGGGGGGGGGGGGTTGGCCAGGCTGTGTGTGTCCACCTGGATGTCACTCATCAAGGCTCCATTTCGGTCACGACGGCCTCCAGCCCTCTGCCAGTGAAAAGGGAGCTCGGGAGAGCCACATGCAGCCTCCCCAAGCTCTGTTTTCACCGGCAGAGGGTTGCAGGAGGCTGTTGTGACCCAAAACAGAGCCCGGGAGGGCTACATGAGGCCCTCTTGAGCTCTCTTTTCACTGGCAGAAGCACCGTGGGCTGGTCCTTTGCTGTTTCCAGGCATGCCCGTGGGCCAGATCTAAGCACCTTGCAGGCCAGGTCTTGAGTTTGACACCCCTGCTATAGATGTCGAGTGTCAGCCATTCCCTTGACACATGATCCCAGGGATTGTGACAAGCCAGAAGAACAGAGACATGGTGAAGGGGGGTGTTGTAGCGTTTAGCAGGGCACGGTAGATAATTTGAGTTTATAAACAATATCTGGGGCTAAGCCTTTTGCCCTCTTATTTACTCTTTAATTTGCTTCCAGCATGTTTTCTTGGTCCTTTCATTTAAAAATCAACACATTCGTTGTCATTTTTAGTTGCAAAGGCATG